CTACAGTAAGTCTCAGGTCTTCAACAATGGGGAGAAGTCGTGTTTGAAGCCTTCTGCGCGACATGAACCCTGACTGTTTGTCAGTTTGTATTCCATTATTAGTGCACCAATCCTCGATTCTCTCCACGATTTTTAGGGCGATAACTTCGTATTGGATTAGTGGTTGATCCAAGAGGGGAATTCCGGACTTTATAGACTTGAGCAGACTTTAAAGTCCTCTCAAATCTTTTAAAGTCCACAAAGTCCGCCAGCTTGAGCGGATTTTCAGGACTTTAAAGTACAGTAAATTCTCCGTAAGTCCGGTCAAGTCCTCTTAAGTCTAAAGTTGGCAGTTTCCCCCTTGGGTTGAGCTCAAGATAGTTTTAGTAATATACATTCGTACAACAACGAACAGTTACAGTTGATTTAGAAGTGACAAGTTATAAATGGTCATTGCCAATTCATCCTGATTGGTTTTATACTGATAAGGTACATTTTATGTTGCATCATCATCTTGTAATAATTCTCTGATATATGATGATCAACATATTTGTCTTTACAATGGGCAACATTTGATGATTTTAGAATAGGCTAACAATCATGTTGGCTAGTGATTTATAAACTTGTTCATGTTCAATCGGTTTGAAACAATACAATGGCGTATCCAAAACAGTGATTCCGCGCTGTCTCCATTGGGCAAGCAGTAAGAGCTAGTGCAAATTCGAGAAACCTGATCGGCCCAATGGTCTCAGCAAGAAGTCAATGTTCTAGCTGCGTCATTGAAACAATATTTATGCAAACATTCAGTTGATTTAGCAATATTATGAATACTTCATCAACTTGAAGATCAGATACGTTCTGAACGCATGGAAACAACAAAATACAGAAGTTAATTAAAAAAATTGCATTGGCCCTTTTCCCATAGGATATTTTGAATACAAATTTTTGTGTTAACCGAGATGGTATATTTTTCCAGTGGGTTTTTTATGTAAATACTTCATTTTTCTTTTTTTCTTCAACTCTGTCTTTATGAATTAAAGAATCAATTAACTCGATTGTCTGGTGCTTAAAAGCAGTAATTCTGATGCTAAACAATTTTTATTTAAAAATGCCATCATTAATACTGAATAATCAAGTTAGATGATTTTTTTTTATCTATTCCGCCTTTAGGAACTTCCCTTGTGATATGTAAATAATACCACGATGGTTATTTTTATGCTGTATTCAATGAAGCAATTGTTCCAATTCTTCCTACCATCTTTGGTTTACTCATTTATCGCAATGTTACTCGAAGTCGCCAACGTTCACTTGTTATGTCTCGACGTCAACATTCAAATTTCGTCATAAGTAATATAATTTTGAATTAATGCTGATGTTATTTTTTCAAGTTATTGTCACTATTCCTCTTCATATACCATGTATGATTGTACAACTCTATGGGCTTCATTCTTCCCAAACAACAATAATTACATATACCTTGTTATATGTAGGCGTTTGATTGTGGTATATAAACTATTGTAAAATGTTTTATTTAAATACATTAGCCAGTAGAGTGTTTAGAAATATTTTGACAAATCAAGCAATCAAATTTGTTGTCCATATACAACGAAGTCAGACAACATTTATTACTCAACTTGCAAGGAAACAACAAAGTTCATCTAACAGAATACATCCAATTCCTCTCGTCATATATTAAACCTCATTTTTCACGGTATTTTTTGTTTACTTAATATTATTTCGTCAGGTGTTAAAAAGAAGTAATCAGCAAATCGTTTTTCTGTTTGATTAAATAAACTTACATTAAACTAACTTTAACCATTTATTTAATTTGCAAACGTAAATAAATGTAATTGACAAAAACGTTTTGCTGAAGATGGTATAGATAATTGTTTAATAGAAATAAACTGATTACGAACTATAACATAAAATTCGTTGGAAGTCAGAAGTTGCAGCCGACATACAGCAAAGAAAAAGCTCCTAGCTATGTACTACTAATAAAAATTGAATACGAAAAACTTACTGGAAGAGCAAATTTTGACTCATTGCTGTATCTAATAGGAGACTTAATGGTGAAATGTTTAAGACTTTGATTTTCATTATACAAGCCAACAGAGTCACGTCTATGCCGCACCACTTACACTCTTCACCACTAACATAAACTTTTGATGGCGATTCAAAATGGTTTAACGCGAACGAAAATTTAAACGGATTGCGACATGGTCTTTAACTGGAAAAAAGAAACAGACTGCTCTACAATATGTTCTTTTCTTTATTAATTAATCTAAAGATTAAATTAATTTAACCAAGAAAAAAACCTTCTTTACCACAAGACCTTGGCTGTATACTCGTGATTTATCTTTAATCATCTATACTAGTATTCTTATTCTATGAACTCTTCATTCTTACCTTTTTTAATCAGCTTTACTTGATGAACAGCCATATATTCGGTGCAAGCAGGAAACGGCAACAATCTGTTAAAATGTTCCTCTGGTTCAGTCAAAAAATTTACACATTGTTCATAAACTGTTCCCAACTCGCCAAAACTATATGCACCAATCTTATAGCCTGTAGTTCCATGAAACCTAACTTATCCAGCCCTGCTGGAATAACTGGTAGTTTTAAAGAATTTTTGGTTTTTGCAAATGGACAGAAAGGTATTTCATCGTCTGGTACGAAAGTGTAACATTTTCCACATAACACCTCATCTAACTTCGTATCATGATCGGTGCAGTGTTCTTTTTAGCTCTTAAGCAACTGCTAGATGCATGTGTTGTTTCACAGCATGTACAAGTTAACCATTCTGGCATGATGGTGCCATTGTACTCCGTCTCAATGTTCTTAGACGTATTCTCCATTAATAAATATGTGCTTAGTAGGATGGTGCCGTTCAACTTCCTGACTACACCATGAAAGGAGTTTCTCAGTTCAAAAGAAAAATCCTTTAACACTGCAAATAATTGTACATGGACTGGTTGAATATTAGACATCTAAACAAAGTTCGCCATATTTTGCTAAGGTGGAAAAAACAGTTATGAATATCATCCCATCTTTATATCATGTTGATGACATTGAACGAATAAATCAAACTCTTATTATTTTTAAATGATTTTTTAGATTTACTGGAAAAGTCATCGAAAGAAATTTTTGATTTGACAGCAGAAATAGATGATTTAAAATGCTTGTCAGTAGCAAGAGATTTCATTATTCAACTCGATCATTTTTTCGACAAGAACTGCAGATGGAAAATCAAATAATACGTTTCACAAAACCGTCAGGAATATATTACAGATAAAAATCCAGTTCAAATCGATATTCCGCTAATACTACAAATTAAAATTTAAATTGATACGAGCTTGCTGCCTATGGAAAATAAAATTTGAATTTCTGTTAGTAAAAATTAAAATAGGCATATATACCTTGAAACGCATGGAACATACGTAATCGACCACGCTGAATCTAGTGACAATGTTGGCTTTTGTTAAAGACCTTAAAACCTAATGAAAACCAGGTTTTGCGAAAACTGAAGTTAAAAATGTCACGATTTCTCAGACATGGTGCTAATTGATACTATTTTGGAGAATTTTGCTGATTATAATATTGATTTCACAACTAGAATTATACAGCGTATTTATTTAGAAAACAAATGTTTTTTTTGTCGGAAAATGTAAGCAAAGAGAATGCGTTTAATTAATGTAATTTGTGGACTCATTCGTGACAAATAATCAAATAAAATTGAATATAATATTTACTTTTACATTTAGATTTCTCGTATGTCTGATTTATTAGTCATCCTGTATGAAGTTGACTTTGATGTTCAAGTGACAAATTATGCCGAAGAATTATGTTTTTCACCTCAACCTGTCAATCGTATTGAATTATCACGTATTGTGGTTCTCGATAATTGCTATAGTGTATTGATCAATAAGGCAATGTAAGCTTGGTCAAATATGCATTTTGTGTATCGAGTCACAAGCCACATTTTATTCATTGGAAATCGATCGTTTAAAAGGTATGTATTGAAAACGTCGAAAGAAAAAATGTCGAAGGAAAAAATATCGAAGGAAAAAAATGTCGACGGAAAAAATGTCGAAAGAATTATGGGAAAAACAGATGTATTGGTGATTAAAATTAACTATAAAAAAGTAACACAGTAAACCATCCAGAGTCAGTTGTCGATAACCGTCAACCGACATTTGAGCGACGCCGATATTTGAGCGACCGACATTACCGCGAACAGGATCCCGACTCTTCCACGAATTTTTCCGAGTACACATTTGGATGTTTTCTGCAGTGTGTCGTGGGAGATGGGGATGTGGGCAGTGTGAGAGTGAGTTCGAAAAGTAGTTTCACACAAACATATTTTCATCATGCGAAACTGTACATCTGTAACTGGATCAAAAAATGACTATTCACCACCCAGCTTCTCTGAGGTTTCATGTCGGTCGCTCCAATGTCGAGTCGCTCAAATGTCGGCGTCACTCAACTGTCGACATCTTAAAATTTTCGACGTTTTATATAATCGACACTTTTTTTTTCGACCAAAGTTGCTTCGGCATTTATTTTTCGATATTTTTTTCTTCGATATTTTATCCTTCGATATTTCTTTTTCGACATTTTTTCCTTCGACATTTTTTCTTTCGACGTTTTCATATCCATTCGTTTAAAAATGATATTTTGAGTGCGGGTGAAAGGAAAGACGTTTGTCCAAAAATGAGCTTTAAAATAGTTCACAATAACGACATCTTAGTTAGTTTCGAACGCTCCTTTTTTAAGCATTTTTCGTACTTTTCCTTTCTATCCTGTTGATCGTGTTTGCCTTCCCTTTTCTGCGCATTGGAACAGAACAGACAAGAAAAAAATGTCATTTTGCGTGTTGCTGACAACATGTACAGAAGAGATATTCGGTAATTCGACATTATTGAGAGATAATTTAAGGGGCGAATGTCCTCCTCTATATAAGAACTATCTTTTTACCGATATGGGTCATTAAATCGGTATATGATCCTTTTCCTCGAGTTATTTATTTGAATTCTACAATACGTTAAATAGGTGAAATCGTTGACTATAACAATATTATGTTTTGAATAAATGAAACATAAGCAACGTTCTGTCCTTTCTATGTTTGATAATATATCGATTTAATGATCCATATCGGAACTACATATCAAAATTAGGTTAGAATAAAGTTAAGGAAACAGTAATCGATATTTTGCAAGACTCGATGAAGTGGATTGTTTGATAGCTCCATTCTTGGCTGTGTCACTTCTCTAAAGGATGTGAGAATATGATCTAGCGGCGTTGTTCAACCTATTAGCAGTTTTCTACTACTGTGCCATATAAATTCTAAACTGGGAAAATTTTCCGATCCAATCACAAGATCAAATTCAATATCTGGTCGGTATTGAACATCAACAAACATAAATCCAACTACTTGACCTTCTCGATGTGGACGTAAAGTAATAACTCGTGAAGGTTTATGTCCATTTTATAGTGATGCTACAGGCGGATCACGAAAATCAAAGTAAGGTTGCTGTTGCTGTTCATATCGGAGATCAGAAATAAAATGTAGACGATCATAAGGTGCCGAAAATTCGAAAGCCGAGCAGAGAAATAGATTTCCTTGAAACCTAAATGATTGGATAGAGCTCGAAGAGCTGATTCCGAACATCTACTTGGAATCTCATTTCGATCAAGTTTTGGTTGCGATATCCTCAAAATACGAACAATACCCGAAAAAGTGATGTATTTACACTATGTATGGAAACTACGATTTGAATCCTTTCCTTTGACTTACATTTTCTGTAACTGTTTTATTCGTGTTCAGCATCCGAAAGTGAGTATATCTAGGCGTGACAGAGATTGTTTAACTGTTTTTATCGATGTGCAGAAATTATATAACTTCTTTGAGACACAATTCCACCCTGTGTCACCCCAAACCTACATAGTCTTTTGTTTCAAAAGATTTACCAAAGTATCATACATCATTCGAACCGCTATTTGAAGGCGCACAAGAGTATGCATGCATTTGAAAAGCGTTTGCTTCTCTGCTGAGAAACGTCTACTGCATAATAGCGAAATGGTACAACACATATACACTTTTTATTTGTTTATAGACAACTTCATTCAAAGTCAGCTTCAACGTCGATATATACGGAAAAAATCACGCAGTATTGCTTGGCATACTTTTTTGGTAAAATAAGCGTGTTTACCGAGCGGGCAAAGTTTAAGTGGTTCTAATATGCAGTTGTTGGCCATACAAGTGCATTTTTGTTTTCTGACAGTTGTATACTGATCTTCTCCGGCGCGTAGAGCCGAATACGCGTCGGAGAAGTAACCGCGAGGTTAAACTTTTTTTAAGCTATTTTGTTAAATGATTCTCTATAATACTTTGTGGGGTTTTTCAATTCTTTTTGTGCGATGCATGGCTTTTTGGTTTTTTTAGACTGAAAAGATGAAGAAACACGAAAAAAAGAAAAAAAAGAGAGTCTGGTGAAGAAAGTTTCACTTCTGTTTTAAAAGATTTTTGATTTTTTTTTCATTTGTTTGTGCCATGCATGGCTTTGGGTTTTTTTCTGGCTAAAAGGACAACCAAAGAAAAAAACAAGAACGCTATGAAAGATTACTATTCGTAATTTTTCGATGAGAAACTACGTCCGATTTACACAGCTGACTAAAAAATAGTTTGAGAACTTCTCCAAACGACTTTCCCTTACTGTGAGCATCAAGTGACCTCAATAATTCTCAAGTAAACCTATACGCTCTACGACCGTTTCTAAGATATTTCACCAGCTCGTTTGCAAACTACGCTAGAGTAGACAGTACTCATACTTAGATTTCACTTTTGTTGCCTAATTGTACACATGAGTATTTGTAAAAAGAAAACGCCGTTCC